ATAAATTAAAGTATTTGACTAATTCAAATGTTGACCCGATGATTGCGCGAGATAAAAAGTCAGAGGATTACAGGAAAAGTCAGGGGAACGCTAACAACATTGGGTTTAACCCTCTGGGGAACATGAATGGCTGTACAAAACGTCATGGAAATTCATCCAATAGCAGTAGAGACATTTCATTCAAGAACAAAAAAATCCATCTCATGTTGGAGCTATAGGGAAAGTCAGGGGATCACCAAAGTTACTGGATTGTATCATCTGGGGACTATTAGTGTCTGCACCAAATTCCTTGGTAATCCATCCAATAGTTGTTGAAACATTTCTTTAAAAGCTAGAAATGTCCATCTTGTGGTAGCGTTGGAGGAAAACCATGGGGATCACTAACAACACTGGGCTCAATCCTCTGGGGAAAATGAACGTCTGGACACAATTTCATGGCAATCTGTCCAGTAATTGTTGAGATATTTGAGTCTGGACTGACCCTTGATTCACACCAGTAATGAGGTTAAAATGATGAGTTTTAAATGTAATGGTAATAAATTCCACATATGATCACGAATAGGAAGCAACTATGTGGTAAGATTTAAGTTGTCCATCACTTCTCGAGAATAGGTTTTTGTGCAATTCAAATTGTCACCCAACAGCTTGGATGTGTCAGTTTCTTCAAGGTCTTTGCATTATAACCGACATAAATTCAGACTTTGGTAATGATATTCATTGAAACATTGAGGCATTCTACTGTCTTTCATATGGTAAGTTATCTGGTCTATTGTTCCGTGGTGGATATGGAAATGCATTTCCAAAGTAATATTCTTTGCATATTAGCGGCCACTGATTAAAGTAGATAACTGATGGAAACTTACTAGCTGAGACTCCTACACACTACACATTTTAGGCATTCTAGACGGAGACTTGGTGATACATGAGTGAAAGTTTTAATTTCCAATTCAGCAATTCATAAATGAAAGATAAACAAATCTTTAAATAAACCACTAGATGTTAGCCCTGGGACACCAATTTGTTTTCAAAGCACTTATACGTCCTGATTGCTGCACTGATGCCACACACACACACACACACACACACACACACACACACACACACACAGGGATCAGTCCACACAAAGACTTGTCTTCATCATTCAGATGATTCATTCACTGCCGCAGTGGAATTGTGCCTTTATTGTCTTGGCTGATCAACTTGACAGACATTAATGAAATGAATGACAGAAGATCTCCCAGCGTAGTGCTCTGCCTCCACAGATAAATCCAGACTCCCCGTCCACAGGAAGTGCAGGAGTGGAATTCATTATCAAGAAATAAATCTTGAAAGTCTCTCTTTAGGCAGAACAGTGTGCCCATTTGCTGCTTCCTAAATGATCCACGCCATTCTTTTCACACAGGTGTGTGTCGCTGCCTCTCACAGCCCCCCGACACATCTCTCCACTGAACTCAATCTCACTGTGCGCTTCTCTTCCGGACGCCCATGATGTAGCTCGCATGGCATTCTCTCATAATGTGTTGCACTACATGTTCACCGTCGATTAATCAGCGGATATATTTTTTTTTTTATATGAATCCATTTGTTTGGTCTATAAACATTCCAGAAAAGACATAAAAAATGACCATCATAATGCCTTATTTTATCCCCACAAACAGTCAAAAATATAAAATTGACATTGATATAAAACAGACGGGATTGGAGAAGCTGCAACCGATTATCAGAATAGTTGCTGATATATTTCCAGGTGATCGATAAATCGTTCTAGCTCTATTTAATAATAATAATAATTCAATTCTGACCAGGCATGTCATCTTCCTCTCTTGCCTCCTGATTCCTGTCAGTCTTTACTGTAAGCAGTCAATAAAGACGGAAATTAGAAGAATAATTTGACTTTCGTAAAAAAGGCCAAAGTGTGGAAAAGACAAGACCTCCATGCCGACAGCAAGAGAACAATATTCTGTCCGCAAGCTTTCCTGTTTAGCAAATACTAGTATTAATGGCCACGATATAAATTGCATGGCCTATGACAGGAAGCATATTGCCTTGTGCTTTTGAGATTGCTCCTCACTTGTCATGAACAAAAGCGGAGACAGAACAGCTGTAAGTGATGAAGAATGGATGGAGCTGCTATGGATTTTTCAAACAGTCTGGGTTGACTCTCCTGACATTTAGGCTAACATTAAGAGACAGTGAGCAAACACAAATCTTTCACTGTCGCACCAGTGCAGAAGATGATGGGAGTGTGCACAAACTCCTTGTGTGGAAGACAACAGCTACCAGGAAAACCAGCAATGACTACTGGATTGTACTTAATTGAGAACGTAGCGGAGGATGTGATCCAAAGTTAATCGTGGAATATCACACTTTGAACCTAAAGCTCATCGTGAGCTGAGTATGACTCTTAAAACATCCCACAATTGTTCCTCTACATATTTCTGTATTTTTTTTTCTACATCTCATTCAGAATTCTTCTTTGGGAGCCGACGTGTTTGACGTATTTCTCCAATATTTATAATCTGCAGCCACATCCAATAAACTCAATGAGCTCATCATGACACTAGATGAACCTATTTGGTTTCACCGTGAAATAACTGAGGAGACAGAGACACCCTCTGGTCAGTTTCTGCTGTTACTGCAGTCAGCCTGAGCTTAAAAGAGCCAGTGAATAAGACACACAGACATAAATAAATATATATATATATATATATA